CTGCGCGCTTGAACATGTCCTGCATGTTCTCCTTGTCGTCAGACAGCAGGAGCTCCGAGTCAGCCGACTCACCTCAGTCCTCGTTGGCATCTCCTCCCCAGGGTACTCCAGCATCGGGGAAAAACTCGCGATCTCCGTGTGCCTCCAGCGACGGGAAAGCAGTCGCGATGGGCTGAGGGTCTGCCTCTGCCCAGCTCGGCCCTGGCGTTGCGGCCAAATCATCGGGCACCTCAGTTTCTCCTTGCGCCGCAGCAGCCTCACACAGCAAAGGGTTCGCCACCCGACAGGTTAGCCTGGCAAGCTAGCCTGCGGCGGAGTAGTTTGCGTGGGAAAGCCGCGCAGTGGATACAGTCTTGTGTGGGTGTCAAGGGAGCCTGAGCGTGAGATAAACCCAGGTATGCTGCACACACGGGATGTGTATCCAAGGCAGAAATCTTCTTGCCGCAAGGACAGAGTTTTGCAACTTCGTTGACAGTCATAGTCGTCGACACTGAGTGCGGGGATATTGCTATTCCTCGCTAACGTGGGGTGAAAAGTGTTGCTACTTTTCTACAGGTATTGCTACCTAATGTGTAAAACCGCTAGCGTCGAATGGTATTGCTACCTGATGGTGAAGCTAGAGGTACCTTTGTTAGCAAAGTGTTGCTACTTTCGGAAAATATTGCTACTTCCCTGGGTGAAAGTATTGCACCAGCACTAGCTACAGAACAGTATTGCTGCTGCTTGTATGCTAGTGGACAACTGAAAAGCTGGGAACAAAGCGCCCGGCGACCGAGTTGTTCACTCGAATCTGTGGACAGTTTAGCTTTAGCACCCAATAGCACAGTTGTCTACAGGTTTCTGTGAGAAGCAAGAAGAGGTTTTTAAATGGCATCTGACGCTATGTCAGCCTATTATATAGGGAGGCACTAGCCCCTCCTGACATGGGCGTCACCTAGCCAGCCTGTAAGGGCTGGCGTAATGGTATTTGAGCTGAGAGGTCAAGCAGGAGGCGTTCCTCCATAGTGAGACACGAAACGAATGCTATGAAAGAGAACCTTAAGAGTTATCTGCACAACATGTGGCTCAAACAAAGAACCATGCCTTTTTCCTCCCACACACTAGGGCTACAATCAGCTGATTTTCATTTTTGTGCAGAGAAGAGGAAAATGGTGACGCTGTCTATAACTTCAGTGGTGGAGATATTGACATTACTGTTAGTTCTGTTGCATAAAAGGAGAGTACGTTGGTAAAGTGAATAAACTGTATTATGCTGCTAACACGGAGCTTGCAAAGAACCTAGAATTATTCAAAGCTGAGTGCATGCCAACCTTAGACCAGCAGCCAGACCCTGAACTTTAACAGGTAACAAAGGCAGTAATGAGCAGTCAGGCTTGCAGCGTAGCAGCCTCCATTTCTATCTGTGCATGTTTGTAAAGTAGACTCACTGTGATAATTCAGCTTTGCGTTTTTAGCTTTTGTGTATTGTTAAAAAAAATAAAAAAAAATAAGTAAAATCGCAGGCGTGTGTTGTCACTAGGACAAGTCTTTGTGTCAGTATGTAGGACTGTAGCCTGAGGTTTATAGTATTAACTGGTAAATATGAGACAATACATTGGAGGTCATGATACAGAGTAATGCAACGTGCACATTACGAGTTACAAGTTACTTTCTTTGATAAGTAAATATGTAATGTAGTGCATTACTTTTAAGAAAAGTACTGAGTAATGTATAACATCACATTCCAGAACCCAACACGGTTAGCTAACATACTGCTGCGATTATCAGGAGATTATACTCACCCCCTCTCAGAGACCCAAACTTCATTTCTGGAGCATGACTGGACCTTTTCCTCCTCTGCCTCGTCCTCCTTCTCTTCCTCCTTCTCCTCCTTTCTGTTTGACTTGTTGTCATCCACTGATGTATGTCCTTTCTTTGTTCCCTCGTAGTCTCTGTAGCATGACTGCTTTTTGCAGACCTACACTCGAAAGAGACACGGGCAAATTCACCAACTCTGCTCCAGCATGCCCAGGGAGACAAAAATTGGGAATTCTCATTGAACGATGTATTTTATTACATGTGTTAAGACACACGCTTCATTTCAACAGTTTAAATTTTGACCCCGTTAAATGACATTTCCCGTTTTGGATTCTATAACAAAAATGGTAAGGAAAGCTAACTCACTCTTTTCTATGCCTCCTATATGGAGTGTCTCAGTGTCTGCTCTACTTCTTATCACCTACCAGTCCTTACATTTTGATCAGTTTTATTTGATTCTTTCCCAAGTTCTGTTGCAATAGTAATGATTAGGTCTACCGACAGGTGTAATCAGTGGTCAGTGTTGTAATTACCTCTGTGGAGGAGGGTCTTTTGTCGTCCTCTTGCTCCACTGACTCTGCTGCCTGCACGGACATGGGGGATAGTGTATATATGGATGGACTGAGCCTCTGCTTGCAGTGAAGCAGAGAGAGAACTGTCTTGCTGGAGAGGCCAGGTGGATTGGGGTCATAGCCACTAGTAGACCACGACGAATACACTGAGGGCTTCTGTTCATCCAGAGCAGAAGGGTTTGGTTTAATGTAGTTTAAATAGCACCAGCTGTTACAGGTGCTGGACAGCAGACTGGGGAATGAAGGCCCAACATGCGAGACGGGAGAGCAAATAGCAGGTAAACATGACTCCTGTTTGAGCTTGTGCTTGCAAGTCTCAACTGTTGCTTTGTCAGAACAACCCATCTCCCTCTCCTCTTCTTCTTTTACTCTTTTCTGCTGCTGCTGTGACTCTGGAGGCAGCTCCATGCTGTTTGAGGGGGAAAGCATCCGTTTATTGCCCCCTGAGCCTGATAACCTGAGGCTATCATCAGACCACGGTTGAAGATCTGGACTCATGTCCCTGTGGGGTCTTTGTTCAGCTGTTGAAACACCTGCACTTTGTGGGACAGCACTAACTGCCTCCTGGGGCCTAGGGGAGGTGGACTGAGACAATGTGGTGTATATGGCACATGCAGGGGTGTGTGTGTCTGTTTGGAGGCGCACTGCAACTGCTGGATCTGTGACTGGCCTCAATATTTCTAGATTGGAACTGATGTTAGGGGCAGACTGCCGAACATGGGAGCGACTTACTGAGTAGTCATCATCTTGTGGAGGAATCTCTAGTTTCAGCCCTGTAGACATGGGGAGATAGCGGGCTCTGGCAGCCCCTGATGGTCCGTGCGTATGATATTGCTGTGGTGCAGGAGCAAGGGCCTTCTCTGTATAGGTCTCCTCTTTTACAGTTGTAGATGGGTCATGAGGAAGGGACAGTTCTGTGCTCCCAATCAACTGAATATTTTGAGTAAGTTTCCACTGAGAAAAGATATCTTTGCACTGCAATTCCACTGGATTTTGTAAAACAGTGTCCCCTGATAGAGAAGAAGAAGAGGGCCTGCTGCAGTGTACAGAAGTTGGGCTTTTTGCTTGAGAAGATCTGCTTGGGTTGAGATATTCAGGACCACGGCTCAGGATCGTACACTCCTCCTCCTCATCTGGATCACTGATAGCAGTGTGTCTCATTAATAGACATTTTCTTCTTTCTCTCCACCCAACTGCAGAGCGCTCAGGGGACAGAGAGCTGTAGTCAAAAGACTTACTGCGGGTCTCAGCCATGAGGACACTCGGTTGTGGGTCGTGAGGGGCCTGTTCAGATGCTGAGCGCCTCATCTCTCTGTGCTGATGCACCCCCGGCACCGTCAGCATATGAAGAGCTCTTGATCTCCTTAGTGGCGTTGATGTTGCAACGTCCATGTCCTGTCTGTTTGACTCTTCAAAGGACGTGGAGCGACTGGATGCATATGATGCACTACTATCCTGACTAGGGCTGCGGGGCAGGGACAGAGAGTCAAAACTAGATTCTCCTGATGACTGGGCAGCTTCAGCTAATCGTAACCGCTTCTTCTTTGGAGGAAGCTTTTCAATAGGGAGCTGTGCCAGAGAGGGGCTTCTCTGCGGCCACTGAAATTCATCTAGTTTCTCTTGATGTTTTGCTGTGGTGGTAGGTTCGGCTGAAGTGTCTTTACTCATGTTGGGATCCTTTGTCACCAGGATCTCTGGAACCTGCACATTGTGTTGGCGGACCAGCTTTCGGGCTGCTAGTTTTGGTACATGTTGTTGAGGTTGTTTTTGAGGCAACAGCTGATGATCTTCATGAGGTGGAGAGTGCTTTGTTGCCTCTGCACCTGGACTCTCATTACTCAAGGATTCTTGTTTTTCAAAGGAACTAGTATGCTGAATTACTGAACAAGTTTGCAATGCAGGCTTCCTCTGGCCCTCATAAGCTGCACTGCTTTCATCTTTGCACTGGCCTGAAGACAGGGAAGAACAAGGTAATGAAGGAGAAGAGGGGTCATCAAATTCAAAACTCTCCTCTTTCCTTCTCTTGCGCATTACTGAAGCGCCTGCCCTGACTGCACTGTTCTTTACTTGTGAACACTCCATTTGACTAATTACCACTTCATTGATGGGTTGATGTGATAGGCACAGGCTCTGCTTGTGTTTTTTATAACCTACCCAATCTTTGCATCCTGTGCCACAGGCCTCACACTCATATGGCTGTGGTTGACTTTGCTTACAATCAGGCACAGTGGTTAAGCTGTCAGAGTAAAATGAAAGAGAATCCTCGTGTTCCTCTTTTGTAAGTTCTGTACCAAGTGGAATTTCAATTGCTGGCTGTCGTCTTAGCATCCCATAACGACGTGAAGGCTGTCGTTCGTCAAAGGACTGACTTAGGCGACATTTGCTTTGGCCGCCACTGGTGGTCTCAAATAAACTGGCTTCAGGTGGCATTGAATGACTTCGCACCAGCGGGGTGGTGGACGTTTGGCTAGCTGGCTGCTCCATATTTGAGGGTGGGTGATGAAATTTTTCACATGGAACTCCCATAGTGATAGAGCCGCTGCTTTTATAGCCCACATCGCCAACCTTGGGGCTATGAATGAGCGGTTCTTTCACAGTTGAACTCTTCTGAGACTCAGAACTGTTCTTTCTGGAGAGTGAGAATCTCCTTGGTTTTACACTGTCAATTTTACTGGTATCCACCACTGCCTCGTTGATGGTGATAAGTTTGGTTATATGGTCGATGACCTGTTTCTTGGGCACCGTGAATGAGATGCTTTTGTCCTCCTCACCAGGGGGATGCTGGTTTTGATGACGAGACATCCTCTGTAGGTGTCCAAAGCGTCCATATTTACCAAGGATGATCTCAGCATAGCTTTTGGCACTTGTGTTGGGGGGGCTGTCCTGTGACTGCTCTGTACTTTCAGAGCGAGAAAAATAGCCAGATTCTGTACTACCTCTACTACCTAAAGTTAAAGATGACGCCTTTTCATCAGATGAGTCTTGAGGAGTGTGTTTTCCTCTGCTTAGGCGCAGGGCCAATCTTTTTTTCACCGCATAGGAGTAATTGTTTCCTCCAGGGCAATCTTTGGCCATGTCCGTTTCAACACTCTTGATTGAGGCTCCACTGTCTTGTCTTTCTGAAACAGAAGAAGCTGATGATAGCTGTCTCGTTTCCTCGTCCGACTCTGTGGCTTGTTCCGCTGCCGGTTTCGACTCCCCAAGTGCCAGGCCTGCCTTCACCCGGTGGGTATGAGATTTACGGTGTTTGTATAGGTTACTCTTGGTCTTAAAAGAGAACCCGCATGGGGCACAGGGATAGGGCCTTTCACCCGTGTGGGAGCGAATGTGTTTCTGTAAAACACTAGGCTTGGCACATGCACGGCCACAGTAAGTGCAAACATATTTCCCTGGTCTCTGAGGCTTACGCTCACGTTTCTGCTTTGGGGTCCCTTCCTGGGTTTCTGGTTTAGACTGGGTAGGGTCGCCTGCTGAGGAAGGTGGGATTTCTGGAGTCAAACTCAAACCTGTGGTTGGTTTCGTTGCTGTCGATGCCTCCTGTTTATTCGCCGGTGCTGTATCTGAGTCAATGCTCTGCCGCTGGTGTCTGAGACGTTTGCGTTCTGGATTCTGTCTTCTGGATTGTTTGGGCTGCTGTAATGTGCCATGGGGCTTTGGAGAGCCGGTTTGCTGTTGTTGACAGGGCTGGGGGGGAGACTTGGGCTGAGGGCCTCGCTGTGGAGACTCCTTCTGAGAATGTTCTTGACCTCCGGACTGCTCCCCAGTGGTCAGGCGACTATGCAAGGCCTCCATAAAATGGAAGGACAGCCTCAGGTAGACACGTAGGATGCGTCTGCCTGAGCCAGGCTACAGAGTTAAAGCCAAAGCATTAACTGGGTAAGAGGTTTAATGTGAGCAAATCTGATCAAAATATCCACCTTACTTGACTTCACTTCATAATTTTTTGCTTGTTTTACTCAAATTGTTATTGCTTGACAAAGGAACGATGCCATCAAATGTAAAACAGTAGCATCAACGAATGCAGTTGTGATATGCCATGTGCTGTAGAGGAAGTCCTCTGCCATCCAAGCATTAAGCATTCCATCATGAATCACACAGACTCTGTTGCTCAGCTGGTTCAGTTCAATGCACGATTCCTTTGTCTTCTCAACATGTAGATCTGCAAAAACAAACAAGTCGTTATATAGGATAGTGCATACAGTTCAACACTGAGAAACAGATAACCCTCTGGCCTCTCTGTTTGCCGGATAGGAATATTTATGTTTTGTGTTGCATAATCACTCTATGTGTCATAACATTCATCTTTCGCTTTCCCGCGGCTGCTGCCTGTTTTAAATTAGAATGGTTTATGTAATGTTTTGTTGTAAAATATATCAGCATGCAGTAAAAGTGATGATTCTGCTAATATTCCCTGAGAGAAGCAGTATGCGCACCCAACTGTGACTTGAACATTCAAATAACATCATTTGATTTGGTCTTTAGTGATTGCCTATTTCTTAACGATTGCAGAATATCATTATGTCAGACAACACATTACACATACTGCCCACTCCCATAAAACTGGTCTGATCTTTCTGCTGCAAGACAGAAAATGACCAACAACAAAAAACCAGAGAATCTGCCACTTGATCCATTTGATTGTGGAACTATAATGTCCTAATGGTTTGATTATGAAATTGACTTAGTGATCACTTGTACTCTTTCACACTCGTACTGCTGTCTTACAAGCACCTTTTTCGTCTTTGGTGTTAATGAAATTGCAGCTTTTGAAGGTTACGTTGTGTCGTCTACTATCAAATGCAAAACGATGATCATCAGACTGTGCTAACATACAGTGCTGCCACATTGCAGGACATGTGAAGGACTCTACCTGTTTCATCGGATTAACTGATGATTTTAGATATTTTAAAAAGGGCCAAGCCAAACGGAGGCGACGGATGGCTGCGAGCTGTGAGTGCATACAAAAGGTGACTCAGTGGAGATACTGAAGAAAATTCCCAGTGTTACTTTATGCCAGCATGCTGAAACAGTAAACAAGGCATCCCACGCACTGACCAGCTGGTTTCTACACCCACATTCTGGTGGAAGACGGCAAAGCTGCTGGATACTATCCAAATTACTGATAACAGGTTGACAACCATCTTTGATTTAACTTGTGAGAAGAGTATACGTGCCAATACTGGATGAATAAAAACAATCACTTTATACTACCAGCAAAACAAGCATAGTATAGGAGAGTTATAGAATCTGTGCAGTTTGCAGAGGACCATTGAGATCATAGCTCTCTTGCCATAAGCCTAGTAAGTGTTAAATGTAGGCCAATCAGGTAGCCTCTACTGGGGCTTATAGCTTGTAGTGGGAAGGCAGACTCTTGTTTGTAAAACTCGAATTAACACGTCTGTCTGAGAGTTGTTTGGGGCATGTGTATTCTCTGCATGAAGGTGACAATGACTACTACTAACAACTAGTCAAATAATAAAAAAATAAAATAAAAAAAAAATTGGCTCATTTTCACTTGCTCCAAAGTTAACTATGAACTGTTCATTTACACCTCACATAACATGGGTGCAGCCAATGCACAAACGAGCCAAACATTTCTCCTTGCACCCCTCACCTCACATATCTACTCTCTGCATGAACTTTCACAAGGCTCAGTGCAAGCAAAGCTGGATTTTTACTTGAAGGGCTGTTGCTTGGGGTTAAAGGAGCATTATCCTTTATTATCCTCCATTAGTGAAAATACAGAACAATGTTAAGCCCAAACATTTATCTGGTTGTTGTTTGTTTTTATTATTTTCAAAAGTTCTTGTATTTTAGTAACTGTTTCAGGTCTTTTTAATGTCTGAAAAATTAATTACATGGGCTAGGTAACCGCCCAGTCACACTAAACTAAAAATAGAAGGCAACCTCCTTCCATTTCACAACAAATGGTGCTTGTCTGATGAATGCACTGAGATTTTTTTTTTTGGCAACTAATTGCAAGTAGTTACAGTTACTAACTGGTTCCTGAACTTGGGCGTGCAACACCCTCAGCTTCTGGGAGACCACTTTGAAACACAAGGCAATTGCTTGCAGTGTCTGATGGGAGGCAATCTCTCTTTAAAGAACCATGGCCCCTTTCCAATTGGAAAGGTTTGCAAATAATTGTCATCTAATTTCTAAATGCAGATAGATTGTCAACAAGTTGCAATCAGTCATCTGTGACGTGTCTCTTTGTAACAGGAATCTTCACTCAACTGGTTGACAACTGGTCATATTCTGATTACATTCCTATATAGAAGTAGGACTGCTGAGCGCCTGTATGATTTTACAGGTAAATCGCAGTCCTATTTGTGAAAGAATTCCCAAATTTCTGGCTGCACTCTGAATGCCAACTTGCCCCCACTCAGACTGAGAGCAGACAGGCTCCATCTGTCTGTGAAGGTTCTCAGTCATCCAGGTCATCGTAGTCAAAGGTGCTTGCAAAGAAACGCGTCTGGACTTCTTTAAGTTACTTGAAGACGTTTCACCTCTCATCCGAGAAGCTTCTTCAGTTCTAAGGTCAAATGGTGGCCCACTCACATCCTGGGCCATGTGACCTCAGGAATTTGCATGATAAGGTGGGGCCAGGTTTCACAATGAGCTCACCCGAAACTCTGGCTGATTGGGACCCACACCCAGTTTCACACCTTGGCTCAGGCGATTAGAGGATCATCAGGGGGTCCTTTTGTCCCTCTGTGGGGGGACACTCCCACTAGGTTTAAATCTGGGACTCTCCACCATTTGACCTTAGAACTGAATATGCTTCTCGGATGAGAGGTGAAACGTCTTCAAGTAACTTAAAGAAGTCCAGACGCTTTTCTTTGCAAGCTCCTTTGACGACAGGCTCCATCTTACTGCAATTTTATGGCACCAAAGTTCCTTTGGAAAACAACAACTGACTGTGGGTGGGCGTGTATCTGGTCCTGGTCTTTCAAGTGCAACAAGACTGGAAATTAATTGCACACGGTCGTAATAATTTTAGTCATGCTGCTGTCTCCAACCACTGCATATATCATAATTGCCATTAAGGACTGTAGCTTGTGTCTAAATAATATTAAAAACAGAAAACTCCTCAATGCTTAGGCCTTTAAAGGGGGGTGGTAGGAGTTATGTAACGGAATGAAATTTTTAAAACGAATAATCAAATACGATTTAACCACTGTTCTCTCAAATCAGGCTAACTAGCATGCAAGTCCATGAGCACATGGCTAATTAGCATCTAGTTTAGATAATCATAAAACAGAAATACAGAACCAACACACAAGAATGTCAACATTTGTATCAAAAATTGGGTGTCAGTTAACCAAAGTGCATTCTTGAGTAAACTCTTCTTGGGGAAATAAACTTACCAAACCTCTGATACTCAAAGTTCCAGTAGCTTCTGCTAACAGGAAACATGGGTAATGTGCAGGAGGTAATGTAGCTGCCAGGTTTTTGCCAAGCAAGAACATTTATGCTATATTTATTTTAATACTTTCTGTTATACTCTCCCTGTGAGGTCCAACGGTGTTATAAGAATGGGTGGTGTACCATTTAAAGTTACGCCTGATATGCTTTCTAAGAAGATGGTAGGTCTTTTCAAATCTTACACAATCCATGGCTTTGTTCCACTGTTATGCGTTCAAGCTGTTGAGTCCACGCTTAGTGACAAAAAAAAGAAAAACAAGAAAAAAGCTTTTCTCAGAAGGCAGTGATATCAGCGATATATAATACAAGCTATTTCATTGCACACCTGACAAACCTACACTGGCACAATATGAAATTTTCCTCAAGTTTATCAAATGGTTGCAGTGCTGAGTGTGCATACAGTAACAGTTACAGTCTGCAGAAACTGCTCGAAAATCACGAGATACTGAAACGTAACATGCCAAATTAGAGAAAATAAAGGGAAAAAAAAACGAAACTATTTAAATGACATGTCCATTCACCCACACAAAGAAAGAGAATATTGTATAAATGGCTTTAAAAAAAAATATTGTCAATTTCCCGTTCTCGCACTAATGGGCACCCAGCGGTGGTTCCTATGGTAACGGCCCTAAACCATGTGGTAGCAGATGGAAGGAGAGCTGGAGGGCTAAATTTATCTTCCAGTATCCTCACTGACTACAGAGAGAGAGTGTGTGTGAGAGAGCGCGAGAAGGCGGCAGGCGAGGTGCCTCCCTCCCAGAAGCTACTGTTTTTTGAGAGGAGCACACCAAGAAAGGAAAGAAAAAAATCAATAGTTTGGGAGTTTTCAATTGGTACTACACCGATATTCCATTCTTTCAGGAAGAATCAAAGCCAAATCCAGACACTGGGATGCGAAAGAACCACAGACCAGTTGACAATTTCACCACAAAAAAATTAAATAAATAAATATTGGTGCTTTTTCTCTAAACTAAAAAACCTACATTCTGACTACCAGTGCTGCATTACTGCAGACAATTCGTCTTTAAATATTATTGTCTTCAAAAATGCAAACAGGGACATTCAAAGCATCCTACTGTAGAGAGGAGAACAATTTTCAAACACTTTCTTAATGAAAGTCAATAAAAATGTGAACCCCTTCGGACTTGTGTGACCCTAAAAGCATTCATCTGTTGTTGTGTTATCCACTATGTTGTCAGCTGAGCACTAGCAACGCTGTCGTGCCCAACAGTGCAGCTTCATCAGCAGCCTGATAACGGTGCTCTCTGGAGGGACTGGGGAGAGCCCTTAGTGGATACACAGTGTTCCCTTTCTCCCTGTGCGTGTGCGTGTATGTGTGTGTGTGTGTGTGCACTTCGGGAATGTTCCCACAGGTCCACATGGAGGACATGCCAAGCATAGGCGGCTGGATGCACAACACAGGCAGCTCATTCACTCCTAGCTTTAATACCTACACAGCCCACGGACCACTCGCTACATGCACTCTCTCCTTCATTCACACACAGACACACTCACTCTCTCTACACAAGCTGTCTGCATGTGTTCAAATGGGCAAAAAATAATCCAAAAAACATTAGGCTGACTTCAAATGTATTCAAGCACACTGACGCAAATGATTCTCGTGCTTTTCCACCTCTCGCTGCCTCACTCATGTAGCAGCCTTTTGCAATAACAAAGACATGAATGAAGAATCCCCCCCTCCCTCCCTCCCTCCACAGTTCCCACATCACGTCACACGCCTCATACATCAAGATCACTGCAGATGACAAAAAGGATATCAATGGACCCCCCCCTTTCTTTCTTTTTTTTCTTTTACCTGGTCGCAGGTGGTGTTGTCCTCCGATTCTGAATGACTGGAAACAGGGAGAGCAGAGAGACACGAAGACGAGGAGAGAGAGAGAGAGAAAGGATGAATGAGAGTTACGCTGAAGGCAGAGAGAAAGGTAATCGAGTCTCCGCTCTACGTGCACTGGGCTGACAAACAGGTAGCTGAGTATATTATGTCTATGAATGAGAAGGAGGGGACACGCTCTCTCTCTGTCCCTCTCCACCTCTTTGATACACCCCCCTCCCACGTCCTGGTGTCTCTGTTTTGGGTTCGTGTGAAGCAGTGGCTCCTTATATTGATGTTGACGTAAGCTTGTGTTTCTTTTGGCAGCGGTTTCTGCTGCACAGCTGGCAAAGCGGTGAGAGGTAAAAAAGAAAGGGGGAGTGCTCTCTCCTGCCTAATTGAACTAGGAGGGGAGGTGAAGGGGGCT